CGAAATTCATGATCTATTATTCTTTTGGCAGATCGACTGGTATATGCACTTGTTACTTAGCTCTATGTGACTTATTTTTCTGTATTTATGTCTCAGCTGTGTGATATTTTTATACACATCAGTGCTTAGCTGTAGTCTATGTCCTATATCATTACTTTACTTCCCTTTTTCCCATCCTATTCATCATATTAACTAATTCTACAGATTAAGGTCGAATTATCAGTATAATGTAATTAGACATATCATAAGAGAAAGTAAGTTATAAAACTGATGCTGTTGAATGTTGAAATGTAATTGTTAATGATGAGCTTGGAATCATCCAACAATCTAAGATAACGATAGAGAATAGCTTCTTGTAAATATTATTCTATTAGGGCGAAAGAGAAACTGTGGGCCACATAGGTAAATCTCGATGTCTGAAAACAAGACTTTGAAGCTGATAACAATTGATGAGATTACACTTGAAAACTCCCGAATTAGACAAAAACTACGTTATTTAAGGTTAAGAGACACGGAATAGCGCGCCAATGCGTCAGAATAACAGGAAAAACACCAGATAAGACAAATGCGGGTGCGCGTATATATGGATATTGGTGGAAGGAAAGGCATAGTCGAGACGACCCACATCCACAATTGGTGGTGCGCAGATCTAGAGCAGCTGCAGCTCATGAACACAGTTCATATGAGCTTATGAGCAGTTGATATCGCTCAGTTCCGATCAAAAGAACTGTTTCAACAGTTTGTGCGAACTAAGCTGAATTGCTCCAACAGTTTAGCTCAATTCAAAGAACTAATCCAGTCCGAGTCCATAACATCACTCTAAATTTTCAAGGGCTATCACTCAGGAAAACCCATAAGTCCTCAAGAACTATCTTATGGAGTACGTATAAATCCTCCTGAGTTACTCTATAGGAAGAGACACATTTACTCATAGCTTATCCTAGGAAGTATCCGTAAGTCTTCAAGAGCTATCTTATAGGGGTACCTATAAATACTTAAGAACTATTTAGTGCAGACATCTACTAATCTTGAATGCCTATTCAGAGGACGTGTCTACGAATCCTCTAGAACTATTCAAGAGAGATTTCCATGATGATAGATGGAAGTTATCCTAGTCAGATTATGTGTGGGCGCTCAGTGAGAAATTAGCTTGGAGCGCAAGAATGTAAATTTGAGGATTCTGTGCTCACATGAGAGAAGAGCTTTTTTGGGGTTGTAAAAATTCTTCATTGAGTTTGATTAAAATTTGTTGCATTCGACCGACCTGAAGTTAAATTGCTTCTTCGAAGTCAAATGTCAGATTTTTTTGTGACAAAAGCAAATATGAACTGTTCTCATTTATTCAACCTAATGAGAATGAATAATTGCATCGCTTCTCCTAATCGGCACAATTCAGTGGAAGTCGTAGCGCTGACACGTTTCCGTCAGTGTTGAGTTTTCTTTTACACAAATACGAACTCATCTTACTGTTGTTCGGGTCATGTTCGCGAAAGCTGCCAATAGCTCGTGATTTCCCTAAATAAAACGGATTTTTCCTTAGAGTAACTGGAGCAAGCCCCACTGAAGTTTGATTGTTCAGGTACTTTTTCCGTCAACGAATCACGTGTGAACGTAGTACTTTGTCACTGTATCGCATAGAGAAAGTTATGTCCAAGCGCATCCGTGATTAGAAGAAATAGTCTCTAATTTAGTTCGAACAACAGTATGCTTTCTCCATGGAACGTTGTGGAAACCAACTGCTCAAATCTCATTGGTTGAGATGGAAAGCTCGTAGCCTCTCATTTTTCAGTGGTACATTTCTTCGCTATTGTAATGAGAAAACATGCTGTTCACCGGCTCACTTGAAAGAGAACTCGCGATAACCCAGTATTGATCTGAGAAATACTATGTTCTGTCATGATAATAGATAACAAAAGTTATACTAACACGAGATGGGTCTTCACCTTTTTCTAGCAGCTAATCAAACTTTATCAAGCCGTCATTTCCATTTATAAGAGCAAGTCATGGTGTTGTTGTGCAGTTCTGCCTCAGTCGGAGTTTTAGTTCATTGGATGCGACCTTCAACATGTTTTGTCCAGATCATAGCATGGAAACCGATTAATACCACCCTACTGAGCATCAGAAATAGCGCTCGTTCAGTCAGTCTTCAGTACGGCTGAGCCTTGCAATGTAACGAGAAGACCTGGTATATGTTGAACCTATTCGGAGTTATCACGGATCCCATCTGATTTGAGCCGAAAGGTGCACTATGTATCCCTAAAATATCTAATAAACACGTTCCACGAATCCAAGAGACTGATAGGAATAGCTTTCATATAATCAAGCTAAAACACAGTTTTTCCATTGTATCATACGAACAACAGATTGTCCTGTTTAGACAGATACAGGCTCAGTCGGAGTCCTCTCCAATACGACCCGTACGGCTCTATGCTAAATTCATACATGAGAGAATAGAAACTCAAAACTAACTTATAGTTGCCCAACGTGACTCCTTCGGTGTAATACGAATTGTCAAGTCACACTATTCGGCTACGTGATTAATTTCGGCCCAACTACGAAAAATTGTCCGCCCTTATTTTTTAATGTAAAATTCAAGCCCACAAGCTTTACGCCACTCCATCATTCAGTACTAGGTACCGAATGAAATACTAATTATTGGATAACCTGCCAGTGTCGTCCCTACGAAAGTTATGTGGGCTAAGCCTGAAAATCCCTGAGCAACTAACAGAACTACTGTTAGGCAGCCCTTAACAAGTTAGGGATATCGCATCACGACAGCCCTTGCAGGCGTGCGGGTACTCCTATAAGATGATCCTTGAAGATTTATGGGCACCTCCATTTATTAACTAGTTAGGATTTATGGGTATCCTACCTAAGTAGCTATTGAGGGATTATGGGTTCCATCCTAGAGAATTCTTGAGGACTTGCCGGTATGTTTTCGGGATAACCTGTGAGAACTTACGACTTGCCTTATAGGATGGATGTGGGTGTGGGTATGAGATGGGCTCAGGGTGGATCTTTTTCTCATCCACACCCACACTCACACCCACACCCACACCCACCACACCCACACCCACACCCACACCCATACCCACACCCACCACACCCACACCCACACTCACACCCACACCCACCCACACCCACACCCACCCACATCCACACCCACACCCCTCCCTTTTTCGTCATCGCGTTACGTCATCTATTTTTGCTTTAATTTTTCAACGGCTCATTCAAATGAGCTTATATTTTTAGGACTGCTCCTGGATCACCTACTTTTTACCTTTGGCCAAGCAATGTAATACGTCACTGATACAGTTCTGCAACGTTCTAGACAATTCCAACTGCCTTTCAGGAACCTTCCAGATCTTCCGAAATCTAAATCCTTCTAGAATTTTCTAGGACCATCCAGACCTTCCAAAATCGAAAACCTTCTAGAATCTTCCAGAACCTTTCTTAATCTGCTAGATCCTTCTACAGCTAGTTAGCTCAACATCCTGGGCTTTGATCCAGTAATAGACAGACAGACAGACAACAGTGCTTTATTATAGTGGTATGATAAGAAAACATCTCTATAGAAACAGTACCATTTTTTGGAGGTTTTTTTTGAGTCATTAAAATTGTAATTTCTTTTTTTTTACTAAAAAAGTAAGAAAAGAAAGGCTACGAGGTCGCTAACCTTAGACACAAGTTTTCAGACAAAAAGAAATTTTAATATATAGAATGAAAGCCCACAAAGAATTCTTGGAGATGAGATGAGCTATTTTTGACCCTTGTTTTGTGAATATATCTGTCAAATGGTTGTGATATGGGGCTGAAAAGTTTATCACACCTATCGCACACCAGCATATCCTGAGGGTTTCATGCAATTTGGATGCTCCTGGCCTGATATTGAATTTTGATGGAAGATCGTCAACAACCATGAGTTGAAGAGTTCATTAAACAAAAATACTGATTATTATACACTACAGAATGGATAAAGCTCGTTAAAATCACCAATATATTTATTCCTTAAAGTGTTTCCTTTACGTTCAATGATAGCAGATAGAGTAATCATAAGGATCAACATGTTACTTATCAAGTTGCATGCTTGTTTGATGGAAATAAACCCTAAAGCGTAACGCAATTTCTAGGAAAAAGAAGAATTATTACATATTCTTTTATGAAATCATTTCGAATCACTTCGAGACAGAGTTTTTACATTGTGAATATGAGAAAAGAAATTACTATTATTCACGGTGTCAGACAATGCCCAATGTATGGTAGATTTAATGTAAATCCTTTCTCACTCTGTCATTGAAATAAAACAGTAAAAACAGAATAAAATTTTAAACGTTGAATAAACGAAATATTACTTTTGAACTTTTTTGATTCTATATCAAGTGCAAGTAGGAAATTCATATATTCATCTTGATAGAACAAAGTGAATTCTATTGATGAGTGTATGACTTGATTTGAACAATTAAAAAAAACTGAAAAATTTGACAAAAATTCATAGCTTAGTTTAAGATACTTGTTCAGAATGTATCTTTGCGTTGGTGTCTCAGGTTGTAATCCTATATTAAAATTAGATTTATTTTTATGGACAACATTAACGTATATGATCATATTGGTCTACATCTTAGTAAGAGCTTCTGAAAATATTTATTGTAATAACTTTGGAATTCTTAGAAATTCTACACTACCCAAGTAGGGAATCTGATACATTTATTACGGCATGTTTCTGTTTTAATAGAAAACTGTTGTTGGATTCATCATTGTGCAATCGCAATACTATTATCCTTTATCGGCCAAATACTACATTAGTCATCTTCATAAGAGAATATATTACGTAGGTTAAAACATAACAGTATATATGCTTTGCTTTTTCTTTTCAACTTGTTCATCTTTATATTTCAATATTATTGACTAAGATAATCAAACACTAGTGACTCCATTCTTTTGTTCTTTTTTCTAGATTTTTGACGTTTATTCTTTTTGTATTAGCAATTAAAATACAGTATATGGCCAAGGCAAAGGAACCTAGTAACAAATCTCGCTTCACTGATCTTTACGATGAGCCTGTAAGTCATCTTTTATCACCAATAAAAGGCTATGAAAAGAAACCACTCGTTACGCTTGCTGAAGCTATTGCACCGGTATCGGGATATTTTGATGAAATCGAAGACAATGTGTTAGTTGCGTTACATAATTGTCAAAAGCCAGCTGATGACCTAACTCAACAAGAATCAGCTTCCATTCACTTATATACAATGGAATTCGTTGGCGGACCAAGTTTATATTTTTTACTCAATAAATCATTACGTGCTGAAAATCGTAAAGATTTGATACAATGGTTCTCGTATCTCAAATTATTTCTTACTGCCCTATATAAGCTACCATCACAAAGCAGACGAGTATGGCGTGGTATTCGCGGAGTTGATTTAAGTTCAAAATACACAATCGGCACTAAATTCGCTTGGTGGGGCGTAAGTTCGTGTACTGCTGACATGGAACTACTTGAATCAGACACATTTTTGGGTAAAGTTGGACTACGCACTCTCTTTTCAATTGAGTGCACCGATGGAAAATCTGTTTCAGCACATTCGTATCTCAAAAATGCTGAAAATGAAATTATTCTTATGCCTGGCTCCTATTTCGAAGTGATAGGTAAATTAAATCCAGCACATGATCTTCATATTATTGAATTGAAACAGATCAAATCACCGATGACATTGGTTAAAGCACCATTTTCAAAATCGAACGGTACATCAGGTATGAATAGCTCAATACTTGTCATTTTCGTTCCTCCAACCCATTGACCTATTTATCATTTCAGTCGTTTTAAGGAAGAGTTGAGAGGCAAAAAGATTGACATTCACGATAAATAGAATCATTTTTTGCATTTATTAAGCAGATTATTACAATGAATGTCAAATGTAGCAGTTAATAGGATAACCATGATTACATTTCAAATGAAAGAAATCCTGTAAAATGTTTACCTTGAAAGGGTCTTGTAAATGACATCTATCTATACTGTGCTAGTTATTATTCGTTGACTATGTTATACATATTCATAAGATTTAAATTATAGTAATAGGAACTTCAGTTTATTTTGTTAAGATTATTATTCGAGTCAATTTTACTATTCGTTTTATTAGAAAAAATATCTCTCCCATTTAGTTATCATTGTGTTTAACTGCAATGTCGCATTTTATATCTAAAACACATTATGAGAGAGGTGAAAAATCGACTTTTTTTGCGCCAGACGGATCGAGCTGAAATTTTA